TGACTCTTTCTTGTTCTTTTTCCTTATTAAAGACCAAATTACCCTCTTTTGTTCTCTAGTCTGTTTATATACTTGGGGTGAATTTGTCCATTGTGCTAAGTGTACCTTAAAAATGTTAAATATTTTCTAATCTTGCTTAAGTTTTTTATTCTTAAAAAAATTAGACATTGAAAATCCAGCAGTGGTTTGATTTCATGATGTAATTCCTGTGGCATGAATGCTTTAACAATTATTTAGGAAGAGAAGGATCTATAATTATATGTGATTGTTAATGATTGTTAATATTGTTGTATGTTCCACAATTTAGTCACTAAAGTTATCCTTAGACTCTTTTGTAATATATAGTGGTCTTTTTCATTAATTTTTGTGTTTAGTTCCTTTACTCCAAAGAATAGGTTATGTTAAAAATGCTCAACAAATTTAAATCAATCAATGGCATATTAACATGCCTATAGGAAGAATAAAAGCTGTCATTTATTATTGTTTTAATTTTCATCTGACATCCTGGGAACTTTCTCTGGAAAAAGCCTTATGTCACCGTTACATTTAATGGAAACATAATGACCCAAATATTTCAAGTTGGTTACAGGATTATAGGACTTCAAACAAGAACCTTTTATTCATGTACTTATGAGTTAGAAGCTAATATTTTCAAAAGTTAATTATATTATTATATATGTAGCAAGGATCTGGACCAACCAACAACTGAACAGCCCAGTGCATGCTGATTGGATTTCTTTTTCAGAGAGCTTCAATACATTTTTGGGAATATATGAACCTTGCTGAAATAAAGTGACTCTGAAGTGATGATGCTTCAGGAGGGGAAGGCTGATAACAGAGAGTAAGGAGGAAGAGAGTATCCATGTAAACAATAGTGTTCAAAAAAGAGCTAAAAATGTTTCTTATTATAGCATCACAGAAAACGCAACAATAAATTGGAATCCATGTGTAATATTTGCAGACACTTATTTTAGTGCAAAGTATTTTGGCATTCTTGAAAATGGATCTGATGGTGCTACTTCGTTAATGAATTTAGGGTAAGTAATAGAGATTGCTGAAAGGCTTTATTTAAGTGGAGAGATTGCTGAAAACCACTTTAAGGTTGAGTCATCCATACATTTGGTGATGTGAGGTGATGGATGCCAAGGTCAATTTGCAACAAATCCATCTGCCCTTACTCACTGATGTATTAGTACTTGGCACCTAGAAACATGTATAAATAATCAAGGTCTCACATTCCCCCATACTCTTTTATATTGACATAAAGCTTGGAACTATGATTATGATATGGTCCTATCTCTCATACTAAAATAACACATGTTGTTGCAAGAATAAACATTTTGAAATAAAGCTACTTTCTAGTGCATGTATTATAGTTGTAATTTATTTAGCGATCAAATGAATATTGCCTTGTGCTATAAATATGGACATGCTAGATGTTTTATGGTGGTGAGCTAACATTCTGTGTCTCACAAAAGCTCCCATGTAATGTAATTTAAAGTGACTTCTATTGTCCACTATTAGTGAAAGTAAGTAACAGTAATGAGTAGGTAGATTTACAGGAAGAACAGTGCTGACCCAAAGAATGAAGTGCAGAAATGATTAATAAAAATTATGATATAGGAAACTCCTTTATTAACAGGTAATTGGTTTGAAAATAAATTTCAAATAAATCCAATTTTTCTCAAGACACATATTAAAATTAACCAGCACTGTTGCAATGTTATTTTTTTTTTATATTTTCTCAAGGTTTGGGTGTACACTTGCAGGCATGAAAACACACACACACACACACACACACACACACACACACACACACACACCTCCTCTGAGCACTCAGCGTATGCTAGAATTTAGGTTGCCCAGGTGCTCCTGTACGCCCCCTCTTTGCATCCCTACAGAAGTTCCATGAGTCAGTGTTGCTGCTCTCATCTCTCTTTTCAAATAGAAACTCCTAAATATAGAGTAAATCCTTAGCTCCAGGTCCTGATGGCAGGAAATGATAGAACAGAAATTTAAACTAGATCCACCCCAGGCCAGAGTTTACATTCATCATTTCTAAGTTCCTGTGGTGTAGCAAGCATGTCACCTTTGTAATTTGCAAAGACATATACTTAAGGAAGTAGACTTTGAAATTTCAGCCCTTTGGCCCCCTACATTTGATCAGAAGGACAATTTTCTAGCTGAGTGGAAGGAGGGATTTAAGAATATAAAAGATATATTAATAGCAAATGGCTATTAGGTAAAAATGTCACTATGAATAGAAGACACTATTGTATGATGTTTGGCTTCAGTGTGGTGGACAGATACCAGGTAATTTCCCCTGGATATCTTAGAAACAATAGCATACCTGGGCAGTGGTGTCCTAACACCTTTAATCCTAGCACTCAGGAGGCAGAGGCAGGTGCATCTCTGTGAGTTTGAGGCCAGCCTGGTCTACAGAGCAAGTTCCAGGGCAGTCATGGCTACATAGAGAAACACTGCCTTGAAAAAAGCAAAATAAACAACAACAACAAAAAACCCAAAAACTAAAAAGAAAAAAGAAAAGAATCAGTATTGTAATAAAAACCACACACTCTGGGTCAGGAGTCTAGAAACCAGGTTATAACTAGCTTTGCCACTTAACCAAATGTGTGACTTTAGCAAAGAAGTTAATTCTTATAACTGAAATCCTCAGTTATAACATAAGAGACTCTATTCTATAAGGAAGGAATGAAGAAGTAGTCATAAAAATGATTTTAAAAGTTTATATTCAGCCAGGTGTGAAAGCTCAGACCTTGATCCCAACACTTGGGAGGCAGAAGCAGGAGAAATAAATCCTGAATAAAATTCTATCTCAAAATATAGTAATAGCAATTATAAATACATAAATTAGTAGGTGAATAAATAAATATGAAAAAATTCACCAGGAAATATCAGTCAATGTTATTTGCACCTTGACTTCATTTGGATAATTCCAACTGAAAGAGAACATAAAACTTCCCAGATAGGTTTTCTGGTTTTCATTGTTAAAGAATATCCCTAGTTTGGAATATTCCTTATTTTGTGTGAGATAATATATCACATGCATTCAAGAACAAAGTGAACTAAAAAGAGAAAATTAATAATTGTCTTCACTAGTTACAATTCATAACTGCTATAGCTACTTCCTCATATAATCCATTTTATTGACATTCTTTACTCAAACAGCTAAAACAAAACAAAACAAAAAACCTCTTAATAATCTTCAAAAGTACCAAATAGCAAGCAGAAAACAAAAAACAAAACAAAACAAAACAAAACAAAAGACCTTACCAACAGTGCTTGCTTAGTAATATTAGGGTGAATGAACTTCTGCGGATGAAGACCAATATAGGTGTATCAGTTACTTTCTCATTGCTATGACAAAATACCCCATAAAAGCAGCCGAAGGAAGGGTTTACTTTGGCTCACAGTATGATCTTATAGCCCCTTGTGGTGGGGACACAAAGGTCTAGAGCAGCTGATGATACTGTGTCTATGCTGGGACAGGAAGTTGAGAGCAGACAGGAAGTGGAAGTAGGTGTGAAACCTCAGAGCCCACAGCTAAAGATTCACGTCTAACAAAACTCTACATTCTAAAGGTTCTACAACCTTCCAAAATGGTGCTACCTCCTGGGGACCAAATATTCAAACACATGAGCTAATGGCAAATGATTCTCATCCCAATCGATGGGCACTCTCTCCCCCTCCCCTGCCCTCCTCTCCCTTGCCTTCCCCTCCTTTCTCGCTCACTGGAGATTGAACATATTGCTGTGCATTTGCTGGGTGAAAACTCTATGCCTGAAACTCCTCTGTCCTTTTCTTCTAAGTCTGGGTCTTACTGAGTAGGCCAGGCCATGTGTGAATTGAGTCTCTGGTCCAGGCAGACCTTGAATTTAACGATTTTTTTTTTTTTTCTGTTTAGTGTCTGCAAGTAAAGCACATATATGTCTGGTGTCTGCAAAAGTCAGAAGAGGGCTTTAGATTCCCGGGAGCTGGAGTTATGGATGTTTATGAGCCACCATGTGGGTTCCAGGATTAGAACCTAGATCCTGCAGGAAAGCAACAAGTGCTCATAACCATTGAGACTTCTTTCCATCCACCTTCTTCTGTCTTACACATTTTTCTTCTGAAATCCCTTCCAAATCTTCTTCCTCAAGGGACTCCTTGTGTCAATGAGAGAGACACTAGTAGCACAGAGAAATGGGACTCCCATGCATTGAAACACTCTTTTTATGTAAACTCCGTAATGTCTGACATCTTCATCCTATAGTAGAATCTTAACCCCCATGACTGAAAGGATAGCATTATTCTCCATGCTTTAAGACCAGTTTTCACTTGGAGGGGGTGAAGGGGATGAGAGAATCTTTAGGATGCTGTGTTATTTCATAGCCCACAGATGCTACATGTTAAGATCTTACTTCCATGGGTGGGATGTGTTATGTGTATTTGTTGACATGACTTCCAGGGTGTATCGTTGTGAATTCATAAGTAATCCTGTGTCACATGTGAGGAGACCCTTTCCCTATAAGTGTTTGATTTGTAGGCTATTTGTTGCAGGTTGTTCCTCTGAGCTATATGACCCTGTCATATTCCAATGTATCACTTGTTTCGAAAACAAATTGATGTATGTTTCGGATGTCTTCTTAAGCCTCCAGTCAATGTTTCCTCCTAAACTATTTCTTAAAAAAAAACTGGCAGGAAGAAATGAAAGCCCATTACATTGCATGCTTGTCCAATTCAAAGGAAAAAGCTGAAGTCTATCATTTGTTCTGGAACACCTGCTGGTGGATTTAATGAATGTATTAAAACCTGAGTGGCTACTCATTTCTGTTAAAAATGACTCTGTCCTATTTCTTGAGCAAGTTTCAATGAAACCTATCATTTGCTTTGCCTTAGTTTGTGTATAATGTCAACGTTTTATTGCTGTATCAATACATGACCTGGGAAACATAGATTTGGTGTATGTGTACTAATGGGATTTGTATTTTGTTTTACAGCTGGGACAACGTATATCTTTAGCAAAGGTGGTGGACAGATCACGTATAAGTGGCCTCCTAATGACCGACCCAGTACACGAGCAGACAGGCTGGCCATAGGGTTTAGCACTGTACAGAAGGAAGCAGTATTGGTACGAGTGGACAGTTCCTCAGGCCTGGGTGACTATCTTGAACTGCACATAGTAAGTACTTCTCAAATAAGGTTTAGAATTTGCTTTTCAGCATTAACTTTATGCACATATGTACACGTGTATATATATATATATATATATATATATATATATATATATATA